ATCAGGATACCTGCAAAGGGAGAAAAAAAAAAAGAAAACTACGAGAGAGAGAGATTTCGAAAAAAAAAAAAAAGTCGGCGAGTGTCCAGTTTTTCCGACGAACCCTCAAACCACCCTCAAACCGACACCAAACGACCTGTTAACACCATGAGAAGGATCCCTAACGAAAGCACAATAACTCAAGGTGCATTTTGTGCTTTTTCGTAAATGCCGTCGTCGGTAACCGAGGTCGGAAAATTGGGTATTTCCTAATCGTTCTTAGATCTATGGTTTTAGGAACCTTTAGGTCGCAAAACTCCCAGAAAAGAAAGAAGGACGAAAAATAAAGAGGAAGAGGAAAAAAGAGGACCGAAATCGGCAATGGAAACGCCGCGGGAAGGAGAGAGAAAACTCGCCGAAAAATCAGCCAGAGTCAGGTAAGGAAGACGAGGTCCACAGATTCAGGTCAACCCGAACCCAAAACCCAAGAGAGTCAGCTCATTCTTTACCTCGGCCTCTACCTTCGGCGTAGCCCAACTACAGCGGCCCAAACCTCAGACCAGCCAAGAAGCTACGGTTCAGTTGAACCCACCCAAGACCAGTACCACAGTCCAATCGAGCCGCCCTGCAACCCAAAAAACTTTCGGCCAAGCCCAATAATCCGAGGCCCAATGATAGTCTTGGCCCTGTAGCCTCTGCAGCCTGCGACTCGGACCACGACCCGAACCAGACTGCGACCCGCGCTTCGACCCGACACTACCGCACGACGTGGCTCGCTTTGCTGCTACCACGTGTCACATAGCGGTGCAGGCGGTCCCTCGGCTCGGCTCGGTGCAAACGGCTCGGGCTCCCTCCGACGATGCTCCGGCGGCTCCCAGCGACTGTTCGGCTCGGCTCACCTATTTTTAGCCCAGTTTCCACTATTTTGACCCTCCCGGATTTGTTTTCGGCCCCGATTAAGGTATCCGAGGCCATTTTAGAGCCGTATTTCACATTTATTGAATTATAGGAAAATTAATTGTGAAATACTAACAGAAAGTGGTGAACGGTGTGATAGGAAACAAACCCCGGCAACGTAGGAAGCAGCTATTTAGGGAGTACTTTGTCCTAGGCCAACCAAGTAAGTGGCCTTACTATAGGATAGGCTAAAAAATTGTATGAGTTATGATGATGTGTGGATTACGATGCTTGATGATATGTGTAGTATATACACATTTTGATGAATGATGCACTTGGTATGTTTGACGCACTTTGTGGCAATATGATGAGTATGATGATTGCATGATGTTTACCTTAATATGATGATGGTTTCCATATTGAGCATGCTAGATGATGATGAGTGCCATATTGCATCACGTCGTTAGATCGACATAGGACACAACCCTAAGAGCATGAAAATGATATTAATATAAATATCCACGAGCATGTGTAACCTAGAGTAACAAAGAGATGAGACTAGAGGGTTGTGTCAGAAGAGACATTACGATGGATTTAGAGGGACCTCATGCATATTGTATGTTCATAATCATAGGGCTACTTTCCCTAGAGATGATGAGGGTGGACGCGCACAGGTGCGAAAGCATACAGATGAGGGTGTTCATGAGGCGCATGGCACTATGGGGTTCCGCTGACCTCCGGACGTCGCTACAGATTAGCTTGACCAGAGGGTCTAGGGGGTGTGCGAGCGCCCTGGAGATTCACACTCGCATGTATGAGTCGTGTGTAGGGAAGTACTACACATCCAATTTGTCCGAGACTAGAGGCCACCCCTAAGATGATTAGAGATAGGTCCCTAATTCATGATTGCATGTGTTTGCATTAGCATGACCCCTATAGTGGGGTCACTTACTGAGTATTTATTCGAAATACTCAGGCCGTGTGCCATTTTGTTTTTCAGGTAAGGGCAAGTCTCCCATGTACGGTTGACAGTGGCATCGTGATTAGAGACTGTGGCGCTTGCATAAGATAGTTGCATATTTAAAATTCCTAGTCTTGGTTAGGATAGGGCGTTTGCATTTCACTCATTTATATTATTTAATTTGTAATCGTTTTTTTATCATTTTGAACTCGAGCATGATGTTTAAAATACGTAAGTCTGGCAGTGTTTTCCAATGTTTGAACGTATTCTGAAGTTTTAAATTTTTCCTCTAATAAAGATGAGCATTCTTAGATTTTTATTCTGCATTAGAGATGAGCATGAAACGTTAGTGGCGACTCTAGATATGTGAAAATTTAGGGTCGTTACAGCAGTACTTACCGAATCTTGCTAAGGAGAATTCTCCACCTAGGTCGGTGCACAACACTTGCATCTTCTTCCCGCATTCGGCCTCCACGCGCGCTTGAGTGCACTTAATCGCTTCCGTTGCCTCACTCTTCCCTTGCAGCAGGATCAGCCATATGAAACGGCTCTTGCCATCGATCAGCAGGAGGAAGAGAG